TTCGTATTTTATCAAAAGATTCACGCATCGTGATAGCTCATTTGATGCAGCGATGTGTAGAGGCGTATAACCATATTTGTCTGCCTTATTCACATCCGCCCGCCATTTTAGCAGGAGCTCAGTGATGTCATCGGTCATCAGAGACTTGCCTAGAGCCAGATGCAGAGGTGTCCGACCCTCGTTATCTTCCACGTTAGGATCCGCGCGACCTTTCAGTAAAATCTCCACGCATTCCAGAGAATGCGAACGAGCGGCTAAATGCAAGGCCGTGTGTCCTCGATGGTTCTTCAGTTGAAGATTAGCATTCGCCTTGATCAAAAGAGCCAAATTATCCGCGCAACCAGCTTCCGCAGCCAAGTGCAAAGCAGTGTCGTTCTTTCTGGTAAGTAAATCCACTTGGCAACCGGCTTTCAGAAGTATATCCAAACAAACTTTATCTCCGCCGTTGGCTGCGTGATGAATAGCGGCGTATCCATCCTGATCCAAACGATTAAGTTCCTTATTGTTCGATGCTAGTAAAGAAAGTACGCGCAAGGCGTTAGTCCGTGAAGCCACGTGCAATACAGTTTCTTCAGCTTCATACGGAGATAGCTGACTGATACCTCGTTGCATGAAATACTGAGCTACGTCAAAGGCATCTCCAAAAGCAGCATAATGAAACGCCGTGTGCTTCGATTTGATATCAACAAGGCTTGCGCCTTGTTCTATCAAATATTTGACTCCATCCAGACAGTTTCGAAACGCACATAAGTGCAAGGGAGTGAGACCATGATTAGGTTCGGTGTAGTTAACATTGGCTCTACATTTGCACAAATGATAAATGAGATCCGTACGACCTACAAAACTCGCTTGTAACAATGAGATGTTGACTTCATTAGACTTGATGTCCGCAAAGATAGCGTTTGCGTTTATCTCATTCATTTTGTCTGATTCTAGATTCTCCCAGATTTGTGATTTATAACCCATATGCCTCTTGTGTTCCGTGAGAATATTTTTAATGAGATCTTCATTGATGCGTAGCGAAGTACGGTCGACTTCATCAGAAGAGGTATGCTCACTGATGATGAAGTAATCTTCCATGGAAGGACTTACCGAATCATCGGGTAATGACGGTTCATATTGAACTCGACCACTTTCGAGCTCATTGTCATCTTGCTTAGACGATGAGCGTTTAATCTTTAGCCGAGTTAGAAACAAAGAAGTCGCACTCGTGTGTGTCAACATATTTGGAATAGTTTTTGATACTCTTTCTCCAGTTTCCTCCATCTCTTTTTTTGAAGAGAACGATATGAATTTGCTGAGACTATCAACTATCTCCAAATGTTGCCGTATTAAGTTCAATTACCTATAAATGTAATATTACCTATTTAATACTATTCAAAAGTCTTAATATTTAATCGAAACATATAAAAACAAAATAGTGAAATTGAATTAATTTTATTCAGAGAAGAAAGATTGTAACAAATATTTTCTTAATAATTACCTAAATTTATTATAGTAAAAGAAAAAATAAGACCTCTAAAATATAATGCCAAAACTATATAAATATTTGTAATGTCAAATAGTCTTTTTGTCGAAATAAGTGAAAGCATATAATATTTTGCACGTACGTTCTTTTAAAGCTATAAATCAAAAATAAAACAAAATAAATAATTAAATTAATCTCAAGAGTAACACTATTCTTTAGGCTGCCTCCAATTTGACCCATGTAATATTTTTTATTTAATATTTGGAATGTAGAATCACGTGGAAAAGGAATTATGTGTTGAGGGAATCATTCAAAGTTATAGTAAATCGTTATTTTTCAGTGAAAATCGGAAAATCTGTCAATCTTCATTTACTGCCATAAATTTCAATTTATCACTAGTTTTGGTCTTTTTTCGTTCTTCTTATCGTGATCTTAAGAGAAAAAAATGTTATTTTTTATTGAATATAAAGTTTTATTGAATATAAATCATAGTTCTTACTCACTCCAACAAGAGCGTTGAAGTAAGAGCTATGTGTGGTAGGAGCATGTTGGAGAATACGACGTAAACAAACTTATAATGAAGTTCTTTTAAATAGTTGGTAATTTTGATAAAAATCAAGACAAAAATGAAGATGAAAATGATGACTTTAATAAAACATCTATTTTACTTATCCATTATTTGGTATAAAATTTATATAGAAAATACTTTATATTCAATAGAAAATAAATTTTTTCTCTTAAGGTCACGATAAGAAGAACCGAAAAAGACCAAAATTGGTGTTCACTCAATTTATGGCTTATATGAGGATTTACAGATTTTTCGATTTTCACTGAAAAATAACGATTCACCATAATTTTGAATGATTCCCTCAGAACATAATTCCTTTTCTACGTGATTTTACATTCCGAATACTAAATAAAAACACTACATAAGCCAAATTGGAGGCGGCCCAAAGAATATTACTCTTCAGTATATTCTAAAACTCGTATATTTTAATATAGAAGATTGTAATATTTTTGTTAATAATTTCTTAATTTTTTAAAGGGTTTATAACATAAGGAAGAAATGTGAATTTTGAAACGTACATTTTCTTTTTTTTTCTATTTCAATGTAAAAATTACGACTCAAAGTTTGGCAGTACACTTTATAAACGCTTTAACGTTGTAACATCGAAATCCAACACAAAGCATATCGCGTGACTCTTGCAAAAATTAATCGGAAAATTGCTTAAATAATCACGGAGAGTTATCTAACTGAATTGGCGGCAATTATGTCCCACTTATGAGACACAAACAAAGAAATATCATACAGACTATATATTGATGACAATATCAAATAACAAACTCATTACAAAAATAAAAAAACCTATGGATCTAACGAAAAGCAATGAATCTCTGCAATAACATTTTCGTTTACACAGTTGACAATAAAAATAGATTTTGTCGACTTGATTAAATACTAAACAATTCTAAGAAATTTAAATGTTTCTGCTATTATATTTATATCAAAAAATAGAAACCATTTATATAGAAATATAAATCTATTAAAGATAAACTAAAAAAACTTATCACAAATAAAAATTAAATATGTAACTAAATAAAAGTAAAATGAAAAAGGCATAAATAGATATTAAATATGAAAATAGAAGTTTCAATCATACATAAGTAAACATAACGTCATGAGAGAGATGTCCTTTGTGTCAGATTTATATTAATCAAATCAATAATGAGCCGCTGTCTGTTAGTAGTCAATAAACTGTTAATGCTTTTGCAACAAATCTCGAACTTAATTTAATGACTCTTATTACGAATTAGATATGCGATCGGCATCACAGCAGAGATGGTTCTAAAGTGAAAAAGTACCTTACGCATTTACGATATGAGACGAAGCTCGGTAGAGAACGTTGATAATCGTCTCAATCGCATCACCTCGTTCTTTCGCTAGACCGATTCACACTGAGAGCGAGAGAGTGTGCAGCATGCGACTAACTCCATCGTACCGATTATACCAACGAAAGAGATTTAGATGCTACATATATCAGATGAGACCGGCTACCAGAAATGCGCACGGAAAGGTCGTCTTCCATGAAGGACACCGCATGTTTTTCATGCTTCACATTCTTCACAATACGTATCATAAAAAGATATTAAATAAAAATATATTTGCTCTTCAGTGCTGTACTCATCCTCTAAATATATGATTCTTCTGATTCGAGACAAATATTTTTTAATCCTTTCAGGTCTAGTGGATCATATATGATACCCAGAATCTTTAAAAAAATCGTATCTTTGGTAATTATTAAGCTATTCAGTTTAAAATAATCACGGCTAGTTTTAAAAGAAATTGTCTAAACTTTAATTGGAAAATGTTATAATACAATATCATAAAATTAAAAAAATTTACGTGTTATTAAAAAAATTATTTACAAGTGTGAATAATAATTTCCT